GATTATTTTCTCAACTCTCCTTTTTCAATACGCCATAAAAGTGCATCCAAGATTTGGTCGAAACAAAACGATAGTCCTGCCTCGACCTCTCGTGGCATTCACAGTAATGCTGTGCGTGCGGCCTCACGTAAAGAGGGCAGAGGAATCGTGATCGTCAAAAACTTACCAGATCCTCCAGGGTCTCCTTTCATGTTTGGGCTCCCGGAAGCGTTTCACTGTGCCGGAATGAGAGAGAATGCCGTTAGTGTGACGGTGCAACGGATCAAATGTGCGTGCATTTGCGCCACGGCCCGCTGGAATTCATGAAAGGCTTTGCCTCACGAGGGGGCCGCGAGTGTGCGGCTGAGTTCGGACGGGAGGCGGGGGACGCCCCGGACTGGGCGCCAGCTAATTGCCGGACACGCATAAAGACCAAGGTCAGGGAAACGCACACACATTCTAAAGGCACGCATTCTTTTACCCCAATCAGGTTCATTTGTCAAAGTCGATTCGGTCACATGCTAGAATTGCTTCTCCCCTGTAGTGCATTTAAAGGGAAGGCAAGGAGGTACCACCCTCGGCCAGGAAACAAGCTGTCTGCGTTTATTCCCGCTACGGCGCAAACCCGTTTTTAACCGCACGCGTCCATGACAACAGCCACGCGCACCGTTCGAGCACACTTTGCACTCGACGTGTGCGGTTTTGAGCCGGATGCGGCCCGTGAGCTGCTTAGCGAATAGTCGAGTCTTCCGAGGGACGTAACGGATCCTTCTTTGGTGTCCTGGAGCCGATCCCAACTTATTTTGGGCGAGGGACGCAGCACGCCCAGGACTGGATGCTGGCAAATTGCTGGCGCCGGCTGATCGAAGTGCAAAATGGGTCCAGAGGGAAAAACGAGTTCTCTCAGAGAAGCTTCAGGAAACAAATCGGGGGTCAGGGGGTGGGACTTAAGTCCTGACCTTGTCAGGGCAAAGGTTAACATTTCTATTTAGTTATTTGCTTGCATTCACGTTCGGATCTTTGAATGTCAACTACGGAAAGAAAAAAGCGAGCTAAAGTCTTCATCTAAGAATGGCGCCCTTGGCAACAAGCGTTGAGCTTCCTCAAGTTGACGTCAAAGCGCTCAGCTTGCGAACATCGATGGCAATTTCAATTGACAACGGGCGGCAGTACAGGATAAAATGTCAGACCTCTCAGATGGATAAAAACGGGTGTATTGGAAAAAAAAACAAGCATGCAAGGGGGTCCACTGTCACCTAAACGATAGCAAACTACCATCATTTGTAATTTGACCTTGCCTTCCACAGAATGTTTTTTTTTTCTTGCATCCACCTATCAGGCTACGGTCTACTTCTCTGTTATCTAACTAGGAAGCCTCTGGTTGCTGGAGCGTTCTGATGCATCGATGAATGGCCCGGACGGGCTCTTTGGACGGTACATCATGCTGTCGCCTGCTCAGTCAGGCATTCACGGGAGCTTTTCTAGCGGGGATGATAAAACCATATCTGGCAGGTGCACGTGAATCTTTTCACATTGGAAGTGTTTCCCAGCTCATCGAGAAGACAGCTCGTCCCAGGAAAGGATGGATTTCATTTCCCCTCGCAAATCGGGGGCGGACCAGGGTGCCGCGTGAGTCCCACCCGCGTGGCATTACTCACGCATGAGGATGCTGAACGCCATCACGGCGAGGAGTCCTTGAAGGAAGATGCCGAACGAGTCCATCAGAGCGCCGTTCTCGCATCCGCCGGTATCAGTAGCAGGGGTCGGGCCCGAGGACGCGTTGCCGAGGGACCAAGCGGGCGGCCCCGCCGCGCCCCCCGGCTTGGAGA